GTTATTGGAAGGCGGACTAGTGAATAGGACTCGCAGAAATTAACAACAGTACTACAAGTACAAACATAAGGCCACACGCGATCAAGGCAAAAGTAGCTTATGTAGTGTCACTCATTAATCCCTACTTCTAGCACGTTGTCCTACGAAAACGGTGTTTATAGGGTTTTGTGGGTGGGGGATTAGGATACACAGTGAAAGTATACTTTAATAACTGCTATATGCATTTTTATTTTATTGTATTTGGAAGTGTTGTTGATTTATATTTGTTGATTTCCCTAATCTGTATTATCGTTGAACGTATTGCGGAAAAAAGCCGATTATCAAATTACAGGTTTCTTGAAATTCCCAAAAAATAGAAATGATGGTTAGGAGGTCGTTTACTTCAACTTACCTGAGGTCCAACTTACCATGCTGGAGTTAGATTAGTATAGCCTGCGGCGTGAAGTGCCGCGCACACCTTGAAATTAGCTGCGGAGCAACTTACTCCCAGCGGCCGCGCGAAACAACTTCGACTACATTTTTTCACTTTACACTTACTTATAAAAATTTCCTTCACTGCCCATCCTATTTCCCCACCCCCCGAAATCCTATAACCACCGTTTTTCGTAGGGCAAAATGCTGGGACTATGGCTATATGAGCGGGACTACATAAGCTACTCTTGCCCACGATCAATAATTCCTGCATATATCTGTCCAGTCAACTTCTAGACAGGAGTTCTAATTCTCTCATCATCTAGCTCAGCTGCGCTTCTTGGCGTTATTGCTTTCAATCCACCCGAACTAGTTCACTGGTTGAACACACCTTTGCTGTTGCTATAAGCAAGAACGGCTCGAACCAGCAAAGACTGACGGGGACATGTGTTTTTGGCCGTGCACGCTGTCTCACCCAGAGGTTATACCAAATTAAGCTGCGTGCATGATTTGACATGTGGACGTACCGCTGGCCAGTGGCGATCACTATGCCATGAAAGCCTTTCGAGTGTTCTTATCAGTGTGACTAAAACTTATTGATGTGAATAATTATGGAGACTAACACAGGCGTCTCTAGCCATCCCTCTAATCCCGGCTGTGTGTAGGTTAACTATTGCCTCATTAAGGTTAGCTACAACTTCCAATACTTCATCAGTAAGTTTGAGGCAGGAAGGTGGTTCAGGCAGATTCTGTTAGACGCGCCTTACATCGTATTACTCTGAAATATCTGGGCAGATCTTTTGCTCATGGTAGGCTTAGGTTATAGCTAATCCACATCGCC